AAATAAATAAATAAATAAATAAATAAATAAAACAAATAAAAAATAGGGGTGGGATGGAGGGGGGTTGGACGGCATTGAGAAGCTAAAAGGCAACAACTCTTCACTCAATTATTGTGTAAATTTAAGTCACATGACATGAAGGGTGAATCACATCTATCTATAAATTATAAAGGCAGAGATTTAATGTATGTCATAAGAGGTGCCCACTTGTGAGTACATTTGGCTGAATTACCTTTTACTGTTGATAGAATCTTTTCCATCTTTAAGCATGATCTAACAGATCACACACACTTGTGCCTGAAATCCTAAACAACCCGTTCTAAGTTTGTCTTACCTCACAGAATCCCTTTGGGTGGTATTAGGAGGTCTAAACCCCCCCAGAATAAAGCCTGTGCACAATACCAGCCAGTCTGAAAACTCCCAGGGAGTCAAACAGGGAACTGGTACATTAAAGCCACATCTGGTACACGAAAGGTACACAAACTGCTAATTTTAGCAGTAGGAACAGTTTAGTTTCCAGTTTTAAATAGTGAGCTGTTCTCTGGGTTTGGTGTCAAATGAACTAAAATGAGTTCATGAAGAGTGCGTTCAAATAAAACTGGCTTTAATCAGGTGAGGTTTCCTGTTTGGACGGTCTGAGGTGAGTAGGATGGATGGCTGTGATTGGCTGATCGCTGTGTCTGGGTTCAGGTTTGTGTTGAGCTGAAGTCCCTGTGGCCGCTACTTCAGGAACCGCTGACTCGGCTCATTAGCTCCACCAAATCCTCGCGCGGCATCGTCTCGCTTCCCTTTTTGTTCCTCCTTTAGCTGTTGCCTAGCAACCTGTGCTAATTGCCTCCCTACTAGAGTTTTCTGTACATGTATTTTAGCAAAAAGCCCGCTCATTATCCGACTTTGGCTTTGCATTGTACTCCTGAGAACTTGTTTTTTTAGATTTCTTGGAAATAATTGTTCTGTTATTGGTGTGTAAAATCTAGATGAGTGCTTCTGGACACTGCTGGGGTCAACAGATTGTCCTCATTTATTCTTCTGCTTAAGAATATTATCGCGACATTAATTAATATGGCTTCACCATGTCAACAAAACAAACTTTAGACTCTTAACACAGGCATAAGTGCCCATCAGATGGTAAAAAAATAAAGTCTGTTTAAGAAGTAGCCAAAGTCCAGTGGACCCATTTTATTGAGCACGCTGGCCCTCCGCTGCCCACTCAGCTTCTCCACATTAATCATACGTGTCCAGGCAAAGCCTGCGGGACACATTTGCATAACAGGGGTAATCTGTATCGGCTGTTGTTCGCACACTGTGTTGGTCAGTGGGAGCCTGGTTTTCCTTTTTTTCTTTCGTGTGTGTGTTTGTAAAACACGAGCGAGTCACAAACAGTCCCAGGTAACACACAGGGGTCAGTCAGACTGCTGGACAGCCTCTCACAGACAGAGATCCTTATTTTTTGTAGGTTCTTGGTTTTATTTTGAAAATCCTGCCCCTTTACAGTCAGTCTCCTTTTCACTCAGGTGTGTATAAAACATAGAAAGAGAGAATACATTTTTACCCTCCATCTCCACCAGTTAACCTGCAGAAAAAAGCTTTTATCTTACTGGTAAGCTGGCTGCATTGTTTCACGACAAGCTTATCTCAGAGTTTCCTGTAGCTCTAACTCACCAATTTTCTATGTAAAATAGGAAAAGAAAAGATCTCCTAATGTTTATTTCCACATTTCTGAAGAGTCTTGCTTGACATTTTCTGTAAATCCACCCTGAAAGTGATGGAAATGGAATGCCTCTGTGGTTTTTGTCCTCCAGGAAGTGGGCAGTGGGCCACGCCTCCAAATCCCCCCGGAGCTCTGCCCTGATTGGCTGTGCATCTCCAGCTTTTGAAGGCCTTGTTCTGAGTTTGCTTAAAGTCTAGTGGCAGTAGCAGTCCCACCGACTGGAGCTCGCTGGGAAAAGCCCAAGTCCAGGACTCCGTTTTCCCAGAATCGCCGTGTAACCAAACGTACCTCCTAGGGGTGGGACGGTTCACAAAATCCACGGTTCGGTTCGATTCACGGTTTTGGGTTCGGTTCGGTATGTGTTGATTGTTAGGGAAATCTATTATGTCTTGTATAGTCAGGTTAAAACTGAAAGAAAAAAGCAGTCTGACATTTGATACATTATTGTGACAGTCTGAGGTTAAAAGTAGGTGAGATTCTGGCATTGAAAGAGAGGAAACAGTGCTAATTCCAACATGTGCTTCCCTCTAAATGCAAAGTGGTCCATACAGCAGAAAATATATAAACTGCTGTTGGTGCGTCTGATTTTTATGGGCTACGCTGCTTCTTCTTCTTCTGGTTTCCTACTGGTGGTTGGCTTTGGGCGCAGTAGCGCCCCCTTCTGCTCTGGAGTGTAAACGCTTCCCTCTGAGAAAAAGGAGCAGCA